AGGGAAAAATCTCTGTGGCGGCTCCCTGTGCCTTGAGACTGGGATTTGCTGGGGAAGGCAGGGCAGGGTGGGCTGGCACCGACCCCACGCTGCTTTTGGGGTGAAATAGGGCTGAATAGGCGAAGACGGGCAATGGATTTTGCATCCTCTCCCTGACTGCCACAGCAGCAGTGGGAGAGAAGCACCAAAACCCACTGACACGGGGAAAACACCCGGCATCGGGGCCAAAACGGGCACCCATCCCACCTCACCCCTGTTGGGCGGGAGGGATGGGATGCTGGTGTGATAACGGAGCTGTTTCCATGGAAACAGGCTCCTTTTCCACTCGGCCGCCTTTTAATTTATTTATTTCTTTGCCTGCATGTCTCTGACCTGCGAGCTGGTGGGTTTTTTTTTTTTGTGTGTGTGTGTGTTTTAAGCACCGTATTGGACGTCGGGCGTAAAAAATGGAGGTTGGAAAAAGGGAATAAAACTCCTGTGGGTGGGAACTGGGAGCTGGGGCTGTAACGGTCCTTTGCCCCAGCAAAGCGGTGTGATGGGAGCCCACGGGCATAAAGCTGGCTCATAAAAGGTTTTTTTGCTTAAGAAAATCATAAAACACACGTCCTTTGGGCGTATTAAGGCTCCTTTCCCCACCAGGTCTGTGAAGATCGATGCGACTGCACCACCTCCCACCCCCTGGAAACGTGGCTTTTTTTTTGCTATTTTTTTTTCTTTTTTTTTTTTTTGGGAGATCGATGTGACTCCACCACCTCCCACCCCCTGGAAATGTGGCTTTTTTTTTGCTATTTTTTTTCTTTTTTCTTTTTTTTTTTGGTTGATAATATTTTTATATTTTTCTGTATATATTTAGTAATTCCTTTTCAGCCGAGCCGCCTATTTTTAGCCCCGGCTTTTAGCAAAAAAACAAGGGGATTTTGGCTTCGAAAGCCAGCCCGCCCCCCCGGGAGGGATTTCCACGCTCCGGCCATGGGGGGGTGACACTATGGCCGTACACCCCGTTATCTCTTTACATCTGGATTTTTTTGAGGGAGAAAAAAGCATTTTGTGGGGACAGTGTTGGTCCTGTGCCTGGCATGCAACGAGCTGGGCTGGCCTCAGCCGCCGGGATGCGCAATCCCAGCACCAGTAAGAGCTGGAACAAATCCCTCCGTTATAATACCCACCTGACACCTTTTTTTGGCCCCCCCTCCCCCAAAAAAACCCACTCTGGGTGATGCCTGCCTGGTAGGAACAAGCCTGAGCCCTGTGTCCCCCCCAAAAAATCCTGGCTACCCGCTTTGCTGCTGACTGGATGGGAAATACCGGCGTGTCCCTGATGGAAAATGTGATTTTTTTTTTAATTAAAACCGAGAAGTGGGGAGGTTCCTGCTTTCACCCCACCAAGGAGCCGTTGTGGGTGGCGGGTGGTGCCCTGTGGAGCTGGTTTTGGTCCGAAAGGTGGAGAAACGGTGAGGTTTTGCCCTTTCAGTTTCCTTTCCCCAAAGAGCCACCGCTTTTCCTTTCGCTTCAGCAAAAGGGAACGTTGTGTGGGCAAAGGCTGCAGACCCCTGGAGATGCAGGAGGCATCTCCCGACCCCTGTAAAATCTCACTCGATGCCTGTTTGAACCTTTAAGGATGTAAAAAAAGGCTTTGCCAAGATGCCAGTGTGCCAGCCAGGTGCGTTGCCTTTTGATGGACCCGACCCCATGCAGAATGTGCTTCCAGATCCCCCTTTCTCTAATGGTTGCTGCCCTAATTAAGGCAATGGGACTAAATAATCACCCTTCAAATGTTTTTTTTAAACATTTAGGAGAAATCTGATCTTCGCCCCAAGGCAACTTGAGATAAAACCCAAAGGAAAAGGGGGGGGAAAAAGCGATAGGGGAGGTTGGGCTCAGATTTTGTGGGTTTGGGGCTGGTGATGGGGCTGGTGCTGGGAACGGTTCTGCCCAGCTCAGCCTCTCAGCACAGCTCCGTGCAAAGCAGCTTGTGCTGACGAGGAGCTGGCAAACGAAGGCTAATTACTCTTGCAAGCCAGGCTGGCAGCTGCAGGATGCCAGAGCCCCGTCGGAGCCCAGTTTGGGAAGAAGGAGGAGGAGGAGGAAGATGGCAGCTTAGCGGGAGGGCTCGATTGCTCCGGCGTCGAGAAATGCTCCTTTCACAGTGGCTTGTTTTGGGGGGTCCTACGCAGCATTTTGCATCTCTCCTCGGTCGAGGTGGTGGCAAAGCAGCTCGTGCCAGGCTGTGCCAAGAGGCAGCAGGCTAAAAATTGGCAAATTAATTTACTGCTGATTTAAACGAGTCCCTAAAGGCTGGAAGGATGGGGGTCAGTGCCTCCGTGCTGAATATTTAAGGAGGGTGCAGGATCCATAAACGGGTTAGGAGGGAGAAATGCATTCAGAAACAAGGTGGATGTGGTGATCTCGCTGGGAGGGATGGAGGGAGGGTGGCTGGTCATCCCTTGGCCCCAGGCAATGGTGGCTTTTAACGCAGAGCCAATTAAAGCTGAACCTCATCAACTCTCTGAAACAGCGACTGGTGGGGTGGCTCATGGGCTGGGATCATAGGTAAAAGCTGAAGATTTCGGTAAAACCAGAGTGAGCAGATCAAGAGCAGACACAGCCATAAATGCTGGGTGAGCCCCTCAACGTCAGGGGCACCCCTTACCATTTGCCCCCCCTCCATCCCAAATTTTGATGCCTGGTTTGGCCAGGTGCCCCTGGGGAAAGAAGAAAATAAATAAAATCATTCAAATATGTCAACTAAACGGAGACAATAACAAATTAGGTGCTTTTTTTGGAGCGTAGGTACCGGCTAGCAAGAATCAGCAGCAAAAATGGCCAAGCCCAGGCACTGATTGCAAGATCTTTTGCATCTGTTTAAATGAATTCAACCTCTCGCCGCAGGCGGGGAAGAGCCCCTCACCCCTCTGCACCACAGACAAGTATCAAAACAACCTGGCAAGATCTTGAGTTTGTGTCAGGGGCACCCCTTACCATTTGCCCCCCCTCCATCCCAAATTTTGATGCCTGGTTTGGCCAGGTGCCCCTGGGGAAAGAAGAAAATAAATAAAATCATTCAAATATGTCAACTAAACGGAGACAATAACAAATTAGGTGCTTTTTTTGGAGCGTAGGTACCGGCTAGCAAGAATCAGCAGCAAAAATGGCCAAGCCCAGGCACTGATTGCAAGATCTTTTGCATCTGTTTAAATGAATTCAACCTCTCGCCGCAGGCGGGGAAGAGCCCCTCACCCCTCTGCACCACAGACAAGTATCAAAACAACCTGGCAAGATCTTGAGTTTGTAATTACAGCCCCGAAAGAGACAGTATCCGTGTCCTTTACATGCTAAACATCATTAGCATGAAAATAAAGTAGCATCCTTACTCGTTAACCTCGGGGCTCCAAGGCAGGAATCCCATTGCGAGATCCCCCCGAAAGAGACAGTATCCGTGTCCTTTACATGCTAAACATCATTAGCATGAAAATAAAATAGCATCCTTACTCATTAACCTCGGGGCTCCAAGGCAGGAATCCCATTATCCAGGCACATGTGCCATTGAGCGGGTGAAATAAGATGTATTCCCTCCTGAGTGCCATGGAATCCCTTTCTTTGCAGGCAAAGTTTAGCGGGAAATACTGGGAATTGCAGTGATATTTAGCTTTTTTATTCCCCTTGTCCTGGGGATACTGGGATTCCCAGGGGGATTGCTGGATCCAGTGGGTCTCCAAGCCCAGCTCTGAGAGCTCCTGTCCCAGTGCCTGCCCATGGAGGGGTGACACAGCTGGGAAATAAGCTGTCTGGAAAGATTGCCCAGAGAATTTGTGGCTGCCCCATCCCGCAAAGTTTAGCGGGAAATACTGGGAATTGCAGTACCACCACCACAGGTTGCTCCAAGCCCCCTCCAACCTGGCCTTGAACCCCTCCAGGGATGGGGCAGCCACAGCTTCTCTGGGTAACCTGTTCCAGTGTCTCACCACCCTCACAGGAAGGAATTTCTTCTTAATATTTCATCTAAACTCCCCTCTTTCAGTTTAAAACCATTCCCCCTCATCCTATCACTCCACTCCCTCAAATGCTTGAGCTGAACCTCGGGCGATGGGACTGCTCAAACGCCTCTCCAGTAAAGAAACTGGGGGAGAGCTGAGCAAAACCAGTGTGGAAACAGCACAAATCATAGAATCACAGAGTGCTTTGGGTTGGAAGGGACATTAAAGATCATCCCGTTCCAACCCCCTGCCCTGGGCAGGGACACCTCCCACCAGACCAGGTTGCTCCAAGCCCCCTCCAACCTGGCCTTGAACCCCTCCAGGGATGGAGAGGTTCTCTGGGCAACCTGTTCCAGTGTCTCACCACCCTCACAGGAAGGAATTCCTTCTTAATATCTCATCTAAACTCCCCTCTTTCAGTTTAAAACCCTTCCCCCTCATCCTATCACTCCACTCCCTCAAATGCTTGAGCTGAACCTCGGGCGATGGGAGACCCAACAGGAGCTCGGGATGTTGGGGATGCTCGGTGGGAGAAGGTCTGTAGTGAAGGAGAGGGGGGGTGGAATTTTGGCAGCCTTCCCCCCCCCGGGGATGCTCTTTCCACCTCAGCCACACGCTCTGTGCACCAGACGGTTAAATTGCATCCCCTCTGGCCCCACATCCCATGTCGGATGCGCCGTGGGGGCCACCAGCTGGGCGACAGCTAAAAGCCCGGTTGGCCAACCGCCCTCGGATGGTTGCCCGCTGACTCGAAACCTCTTCCTGTGCCGAAAAACCTCGCTGAATGCAAACAAATCATGTCGCTGGGGGCCGTGCTTGGGAGGGAGGGAGGGAGGAAGGGGTTGGGGGGGGGATACGGAAGGAAACCCACAGCTTTTCTGCCTCCCCGGCGGGGTAGGGGACTCGGCGTCTGCCAGGGCTGTGGGTTTCCTAGTGCCATAAATAATGCTCTCGTTGCCCCGGCTGGCATCGCGGCACCCTAGCCTGGCTCCTCTTTTATTTATTTTTTTTTATTATTATTTTTATTTAAAGGTAGCCAGTGGCCAGGAGGAGCAGATCTTCCCCTAGAGGCACAAACCACCGGAGGGACCCGCTTCTGGTAACAAATAACTCCTCCTCGCGCTCCCCAACGGGCAGGGGGGTGGCTGGGGAGGGGGCTCATCCCCAAAACCCTGGCTGGTTCACCCCCCGGGTCATCTCTGAGCGTGGGCACCTCGCTCAGATCCAGGTTGCTTTCTTCTGGAGGTGCTTAAGGATGAGCTTCTACCAAATGCCCGCCATGGGCTTGAGCTGAACGTGCCCACGGCTTTTTTGGTGTCCTCCCTAGAACATCACGAGCCCCTTATTTTAGGGCTGTGCCATCCTTGGCCCATTACCCCAAGGGGGGGGAGGGAGCTTGCTGCACCCTCATCCCTTGTCATCCCCCAAAAAACCCTCATTTTGGAGCTCATGGGCAGCCCTACCCAGGTGGGGACCACTACGGAGTGGTTGTGTGTCTGCTATAAAATACTTGCTGCTTGTGAAAGCCTCGGCCAAACGCTGGGTTTGTGGCCACCAGAGCTTGTGGCTGCTCTAAGGTAACGGAAAAAACATCCGTGATCGAGATGGCGTGGACTTAATGAGCCTTCCCCCGCCTGCCCGGGGTAGAAATCTCGAGAAACAGGAAACTCCAGCATCCTGTTTAGCATCTCAATGTTCGAGCTGGCAGCGGGGACAAAGCAAGGGAGGCCAAGGGACAGCGGAGGCAGCGCTGGGCACCCTGGGTGATGTGCCTGGCTCCTGGGCAGCGGGGGACTACTCAGAGACAACCCTTTCTCTGGTTTTATTTCTCCTTATTGCCACCACGGCCTTTTCTAGAATAGCAAAAGGCAAGGCAGGGCTCAGCTGGGGTCCTGCTGCGTGCTAGAAGGTCCCGGTGTCCCCTGGGCATGGCTCACAGGGCATCCCTGGCTCTGGGGACGATGGGGAGGGCACAGGAGGGGGTTGTTGGCAACCTGTGACCCCCCCACATCTGCAAAGGTTGGTGGCTCCCTGTCCTTGTAAAAGCACAGGATTAAACCCTGGTTGAAGTGCCCAGGTCCATATCTCCCATCCCCACACTGCTCGGCTCCAACAGCTCCAACACCCCATCATTTTGGGAATTTCGGGGCAGGGAAGCACTTTTCTGCCCATCCTAATAGTTCACCCAGGGGTGTTTTGTGCCCGCAGCCCGTCCGGAGAGCGCGCCTGGCCCGCCCATGGCTAGCAACAACACTGCTAGCATAGCCCAAGCCCGCAAGCTGGTGGAGCAGCTGAAGATGGAGGCCAACATCGACAGGATAAAGGTAGCCTGCTGGGGTCTGCTGCCCAAAACTGCTCCCCAAACGCTGTGGGAGCTGGGCCGCAGTGGCGGGAGGTGTTTGTGGAGGAGGATGGTCTAATGAGCTGGCTGGCTGTGGATGGAGGCAGCAGGAGATGCTCGTCCCACAGAAGGCAGCTGGAAGCATCTCCTGGAGCTCCGTTGGGTGGTGGGAAGGAGTGGTTCTTCCCAAGGCATCTCGCCTTCTGGGGAGCAGGTTGAAGCCACACTGTTTGTCCCAGTTGCTGTTAAAACTGTCCTTTGGGTGATGCCCAGCACTTAGCCTTGAGGTTAGTGAGGAAACCCTGTCTGAGGCCGTCCTGAGGCTTCTTTCCTATGGAAAATCCAATCCTTTCTGGGAGGTGTTTCCTCTGCTCTGACCATTTCTGCTCCAGTCTGGTGGAACTGCTGCTTCTGGGCATCCAAAAGCTCATCGGCTTCAAGCCTGAGTTCCCAGGGGGTTTGCCTTCTCCACCGAGGTGGCTTTGGAGGACAGCCAGTCCTGGGGAGAGAGTGGTTGCTGGCTGCAGGCGCGTCTGGGGTGCTTGCAAGCAAAACCTTGCCTCCTGGGGCCGGGGTGAGCTCCGGCAGCTCGGGAGCTGCTGCTGTGTCCTGAATAAATAGCCTTGTGGGTGGCTGCGGGCAGCAAATGTTGCTATAGCAGCTGTGGATGGCCCTGCTGAGGGATGGGGGGAGAGATGGTGCCTGCTAAAGTCGGTCCTCGCTACGAACAAGTCGGGTGAGGGATGAGAATGGGTGAGGGATGTGGAAGGATGTGAATGGGTGAAGGATGTTGGAGGATGAGATTGGGTGAGGGATCTTGGAGGATGCGATTGGGTGAGGGATGTGGAAGGATGAGATTGGGTGAGGGACGTTGGAGGATGCGAACGGGTGAGGGATGTGGAAGGATGAGAATGGGTGAGGGGTGTTGGAGGATGAGAATGGGTGAGGGGTGTTGGAGGGTAAGAATGGGTGAGGGATGTGGAAAGATGAGAATGGGTGAGGGGTGTTGGAGGACGAGAACGGGTGAGGGGTGTTGGAGGACGAGAATGGGTGAGGGATGTGGGAGGATGAGAATGGGTGAGGGATGTGGGAAGATGAGAACGGGTGAGGGACATGGAAGTATGAGAACGGGTGAGGGATGTTGGAAGATGCGAATGGGTGAGGGATGTGGAAGGATGAGATTGGGTGAGCGCATGTGACAGGAGAGCTTAGAGCCCGGAGGTGAAAAACCAGCCCCACCAGAGCCGTGCTTTGGTTCCTCGGTCGGGTTTTTGGCCAGAGTATGATGGTACATACCCCCTGTTGGGGATGCTGTGAGCCCCAGCCCCACCAGCAGGACCTCACGGGGTGGGATGTCTCCAGGGCAGCCTGTCCCTAACACGGGGCTCCTTCCATTCCAGGTGTCAAAAGCAGCAGCAGACCTGATGGCATACTGTGAAGCCCACGCCAAGGAGGACCCTCTATTGACCCCCGTCCCGGCCTCAGAAAACCCCTTTAGAGAGAAGAAGTTCTTCTGCGTGATCCTGTAAACCCTTGAGGAGCCTGACCGGCACTCAGGCCACCCTGAACACTGATGTAGAGTTTTTAGGAACGGGGACGACCTGCTAGTCCGCAGAATTTAAACAAAAATAAGTAAAATACACGGCCTGGAAGCTACAGGGATGTGCATGTTTTTAAAGAACCTGGCCACCTTTGGGGGAATAAGATGATCTGCATTGCAAGGCAAAAGATCTGAAGTCTGTAGAGTTGCCTAGAAAGAAAGGATAAAAAAAAAAAAAACAAAAAACACAAAAAAACAAAACAAAACAAAAAAAATATGTAAAGAATAAATTTATGTCACTTTTCTGCTCACAAAAAATCGTTTGATCGTTCCATATTTAAAGCACCAGAGCTGTGCTGAGCAAAGTAACCGCTAAGGATGTGTATAACCTTCTTGGAATGATATTGTTGGTTTCTTTCCAGAACCTTCTTTTTTTTTATTTAAGTCGTCAGATGTATAGCGACAGGCTTAGATGACTATGATGTTAACGCGGTGTTTGGTCTTGTGCTTTTTAATTTCTGGTGGTAGGGCAGCCCTGGGGGGTTTTGAGCGGCCCCGCCGGCGGGTTAACGAGGAGCCCAGCACCCCTCAACGTGCTGGCAGCTCCCTGTGGCTGGTGAACCCCACTTTTCTTCACCTTTGGTGTTATGGTTAGCTTCGGCTCTGCCAGTAAAAAAAAGTGAATCCTGTGTTCGTGGTTGGTGCTTCATAACTCCTGTGACGGCGTTCGGTGGTAGTGCATGAGAGTTTGTCTCTGTTCATCCGCTTCCAGATTTTTTTCTTTGCTAGCGTTTGGCACCACGTGCTGGTGGGAGAAGCTGTAGGGAGGAAACCCAGGCGATGCTGAAAGCCAAGAGAGCTCCTGCGATGCCTTAGACGTGCCTGAAATACCTCCTGCGTTAGGGTAGGTGCCCCCGCCCCGGGGCGTCGTGGGGTAGCTAGAAATCTGAAAATCCAAGTCGACCACTTCTTTCCGGGTCTTTCCTCTTCTCCTACACCTCTGTGCCTCTGCCCTCCTCGCTTGGTCCTTGTCCTGCTCTTTTCGGCTTCCCGGCAGCATCTCCTCCCCACAGGGCTGGGTTGGGCTGGGATGTGCTGCCCCGTGGTGGGATGGTACCCCATGGTGGGATGGTACCCCATGGTGCGATGCTTCTGCCCCATGGTGGGATGATACCCCACTGTGGGATGGTACCCCATGATGGGATGCTTCTGCCTGTGGTGGGATGATATCCCACTGTGGGATGCTTCTGCCCCTGGTGGGATAGGGCTGGGTTGGGCTGGGATGTGCTGCCCCGTGGTGGGATGGTACCCCATGGTGGGATGCTTCTGCCCCACGATGGGATGCTGCCCCACAGTGGGATGGTACCCCCTGGTGGGATGCCTCTGCCTGTGGTGGGATGATACCTCACTGTGGGATGCTTCTGCCCCTGGTGGGATGGTACCCCATGGTGGGATGCTTCTGCCTGTGGTGGGATGACACCCCACGGTGGGATGCGCTGTGGTGGGATGATACCCCCCGGTGGGATGCTTCTGCCCTGTGGTGAGATGCTTCTGTCCCATGGTGGGATGGTACCCCACAGTGGGATGGTACCCCATGGTGGGATGCTTCTGCCTGTGGTGGGATGACACCCCACGGTGGGATGCTTCTGTCCCGTAGTGGGATGGTACCCCATGGTGGGATGCTTCTGCCCCATGGTGGGATGGTACCCCACAGTGGGATGGTACCCCATGGTGGGATGCTTCTGCCCCATGGTGGGATGGTACCTCACAGTGGGATGGTACCCCATGGTGGGATGCTTCTGCCCTATGGTGGGATGGTACCCCACAGTGGGATGGTACCCCATGGTGGGATGCTTCTGCCCCGTTGTGAGATGCTGCCCCACAGTGGGATGGTACCCCATGGTGGGATGCTTCTGCCTCATGGTGGGATGCTTCTGCCTGTGCTGGGATGATACCCCACGGTGGGATGCTTCTGCCCCATGGTTGGATGCTTCTGCCCCGCGGTGGGATGGTACCCCATGGTGGGATGCTGCCTTGTGGTGGGATGCTTCTGCCCCATGGCGAGATGGTACCCCACAGTGGGATGCTTCTGCCCTGTGGTGGGATACTTCTGCCCCACAGTGGGATGCTTCTATCCCTTCCTACACCCACTGGCCCTCCCATTCCCACTGCCACCCCACTGCGATGGGCAGGGGCAAGGGAGCAGCCTGGGGAGCCATGGGGTCACCCCTTCCCGGAGGTGCCTGATACCTTGTTTACACGCAGCCTGAGCTCCATGTCAGGCTGGGGAATTATTCCCAGGTCCGGTTCATCCACCTCCAGCGTTTTGGGGGATACAGGCCACCTTCTTCTGGCTCCGCCTTGGGTTAAGACTTTCGTGGCCGTGGCTTGTCTCTCCTTTCAAAAGACAACTGAGAACTCTAACTTAGTTAGAGGCAACTGCTAAACTCCCAGCTTTCCCCGCTCATCCACATTCCTGGGAAACTTTGGGAATCACAACTTGGGGATCTGGGTACAAAATCAGGGGGGTGTCACATAGGGTTTTGGGGGCTAAACTGTCGTTCTGAATCAGGTATCAGCTTAAAAATCCCTGCGGGTTCGAGAGGACAATAGTCTTTAGGTACCTTTTGGCAAAATCTTTCTAGCCCGTAACAAGTGCTTTTTTTGGTTTTTCTACCTTTTTCATACTCTTTTTCTAGTCTGGTGGGATGCTTCTGCCCTATGGTGGGATGGTACCCCACAGTGGGATGGTACCCCATGGTGGGATGCTTCTGCCTCATGGTGGGATGCTTCTGCCTGTGCTGGGATGATACCCCACGGTGGGATGCTTCTGCCCCATGGTTGGATGCTTCTGCCCCGTGGTGGGATGGTACCCCATGGTGGGATGCTGCCTTGTGGTGGGATGCTTCTGCCCCATGGCGAGATGGTACCCCACAGTGGGATGCTTCTGCCCTGTGGTGGGATACTTCTGCCCCACAGTGGGATGCTTCTATCCCTTCCTACACCCACTGGCCCTCCCATTCCCACTGCCACCCCACTGCGATGGGCAGGGGCAAGGGAGCAGCCTGGGGAGCCATGGGGTCACCCCTTCCCGGAGGTGCCTGATACCTTGTTTACACGCAGCCTGAGCTCCATGTCAGGCTGGGGAATTATTCCCAGGTCCGGTTCATCCACCTCCAGCGTTTTGGGGGATACAGGCCACCTTCTTCTGGCTCCGCCTTGGGTTAAGACTTTCGTGGCCGTGGCTTGTCTCTCCTTTCTAAAGACAACTGAGAACTCTAACTTAGTTAGAGGCAACTGCTAAACTCCTCCCAGCTTTCCCCGCTCATCCACATTCCTGGGAAACTTTGGGAATCACAACTTGGGGATCTGGGTACAAAATCAGGGGGGTGTCACATAGGGTTTTGGGGGCTAAACTGTCGTTCTGAATCAGGTATCAGCTTAAAAATCCCTGCGGGTTCGAGAGGACAATAGTCTTTAGGTACCTTTTGGCAAAATCTTTCTAGCCCGTAACAAGTGCTTTTTTTGGTTTTTCTACCTTTTTCATACTCTTTTTCTAGTCTTCTCCGGAGAAGACCAGTTTGTTCTTACACTGGACTCCAAACTTTTGGCACCTGGGAATGTTTCTACGACGCCAATAGCCTAGATGGTCCCAGCCCCCCAACCCCATGGTGGCTTTTGCCCCCCCAACCCCCCCAACCCTCCCGTTTCAATCTTTTTACTGCAGCTCCCGTAGCTTTAGGACGAAGGACGGACGAAGAGGTTCGCTCTGAGGCTGGTTCCCCTCGTGGTGTCACAAGGCAGACATGTAAATACCCCAAAAATACCCCCTCCCGGGTTTGTCTTTTCTTTTTAACGCTGATTTACCATCACAGAGAGCAAAGCTGACCCCGGGGGCTATGGAGGGGGGGGGGGATGATGGGGGCTTGCCCCCCAACCCTTCTCAAACGAAGCAGTTTGTAATAATTTTTTTAACGACTCGCACATTTTACAACTTGAATTCTTAATAAACAAAC